CGCGTAGTCACGTAACACTATTCGACGTCACAGCGTGACGTGACGTCTGTCGCAATTTCCCCGCTAAATTTATCGAAGAAAAATGTATCGCTAAGCAGAAAACCACTTCCCGATAAATTTAACGGAGAATCACTGTCTGGCGTAGCTGGCGTCACTGTGAAATTTGTTATGGTTCCGTGCATATAATACCTTTATATTTGTAAATAAAAAAAGCAAATAAAAAAAAAAAAAAACATGGGCTCGTCCGGGATTTGAACCCGGGACCTCTCGCACCCTAAGCGAGAATCATACCCCTAGACCAACGAGCCACGGAAAGTTACGCGAAGATAGTAGCGTAGTAAAGAAAGAGAAAACTTGTTTCATATGTTTCTTTTTATTTTCTTGGGTAAAAAACATGCCCTATCTTAAAGTAAAAAAGAAACAAAAAAAACGTCGTCTTTAGTGAGCCGCTTATAATCCTTCATGTTTTCCGAAAAACGGCCGGTCGCAGCCTAGCGACCTTGAGATTCTCAGCGCCTTTTCCCCGCTCCCAACGCTTCGAACCTGTTTGCTTCAAGTAATGCTTTTCGCGAAGAGCGCGGTTCTTTTTTCTACGGCGAGAGTCGTTATTGGCGGGGCTTCGCAGGGACACAGTGTCACAGCGAAGACGTCGCAGTGTCATCTGACGCTGAGAATTTATGCCACATGAGCCGTCACTATTTCCCCTCTAAAATTATCGGGAAAGTTATGCGGTAATTTTGGCGGAGAAATATCACGCTCAAAATTAGGCGTGAACCTAATATCACGTGGCGTCATGCTGTGGCGTGACGCAACGGTGCCATGTGACGCAACGCTGTCCTGTCACATCAACAGCGTCCACTCAATTTAGCTGGTCGTAAGTCCGCTAAATTTTAACGCGACTGTGTAAATGGGGGCAGCAAACACGGCAACGAACGGACGGATTTTTTTTTTTTCTTTTGGACAAGACAGGTTTTAGATAACGATTGGATTCAGGCTCTAGATAACGCCTGTATCCATGAACCAAGTAAAGCCACGGTGGCAAACTGCATAAACAGACCTTCCATTGTTACCAGCGATGAAAATCCACGCCTTTGTTGTTTTTATGTGCAGCTATAGCAACCGCTGTTCGAGCAACGTAGGGTGCCTACATGTTTCCGCTCCGGAGCGGCGGAAACATGTAGGCACTCTAGAGCAACGTGTAAACATTCTGGTGCTTTCATTGCTTGTTACAGCAGAAGCATTGTCTGTGTTCTGTGTCTCTGTCGGGAAGCTTAAAGTTTGTCCTAAAAAATGCTATGCGGAGTGCTTGGGTTTTTTTTTTTTTTTTTTTGCTCGTTTTTGTTAGCTTTTTTTTGTTTATCTACCGTTTTTTTTTTTTTTCTGGGTTACCTTAAAGCCTACCTTTGGCGAAAATCTTTTTTTTTTTAGATTAGGGAATGGGGTGAAAGCTAGGTATTACTACCATGTCTTGGCAAGGCAAACAAACGGAAGGAGCGGGTTTGTGACCGGTAAAGGGACATTTTAAATTATGCGGGGAGTCAAACCTAGAAGTGTAATGACAAACATCGAGCTCTTGGACTTTTGTGTGCTGCGTGGTTCTTCTGCGTATTCTGTTCAAGTATTTAAGCGAGATAGAAAAAAATCATCATTGACAAAATTCTTAGTAATGCTTAGTCAGATTCGAAAAACAAAGAAGGTGATCGGATATTGGACGTATCAGGGTAATTGTTTGCTCGTATATATTTTTAAACTTTAAAGAAACTGTCGAAAGTTGTATGATTGTTATTTTTACACAAAGAGAGAAGCCCAGCTATCGTTTTATACCTCCCAAAAATACCATTTCTTTTATTGATAAGTTTCAAATGTATTTGTAGGAGGCCTGGCCCACTTTTGTTTTTCTCCAAGTAATATCCAATAAATTTGGCTTGAAGTGTTCGTTTTCAAGGCGGAGATATGTGACCTATAAAATGTTAGCATAACTATTGGACCAGTAAGATCAAGCTTCTATCTGAATTATGGCTATCTAGATTTAGCTACCAATTTTGTTCTGTCCGTTTTAAAATATAAACTTTCTTTACGCTTTACTTAATTCCGAGACCCTTCGGCTAACAAATAGGTAATGTATTCTGAGTAATCAAAAAAGCAACAATTAAGGAAGCACAGCGAAGATTCATACAAAAAATGTTTAATATGAACACAAATTAAGCTGCAATGTTGTCAATTAAACAAAGGTGAATACCACGTTACAATGTGTATTTTTTTTTCTTTCCCCAGCGATGGCATCGGGCGAACCGGGACCTACTGTCTCATTGACATGGTTCTTAACCGGATGGCTAAAGGTAATCCTCAATATATATATATATCTTTTTCTGTAAGCTTTAGCTAAAGCGAAACCACACCTGCAGCACCTCGTTGTCTTGTGAAGTTTTCTAGCAGTCCCGAGCTTCGTTCGGCAACCCTGGGCACGCCTTAGCAAGGTTGGACTATCACACGATTGCAC